TGGATGATCAATACAGTTCCATTCATACTTTTTGTTTCATGACCAACAACCAATGTATATACTCAAGTGCTTCCTTTTCCTAAGTGGCTAAAAGACAAAGTAGTACAATTTGAAAATAACATGCACATGAGATTTTAGAGATTACCACTCCTTTTTAATGTTTTGGTGAGCTCTTGGTTGTGGCATTAAAGATTTGTCTTGAGTTGACTTTTCATTTTCATCATTTGGCAATGAATCACCTCCAACATAAGTTTTATCTCCTATTTGATCTTGATCCTGAATCATACTTGAAGTATCTTGATCTTCCTCACAGCCTGTGGGACTTTCGTGCCCTTGCGTGGAACCTCTGCAGAAACAGTAGGTCGCAAACTGTGTGAAACATAGACGATAGTGTTGAGTAAGACAAAACCAAATAGGCCCCCGCGTTGCTCTCTCCCCAAGGAGCGACTCAGGTGGTGCTTTTTCTCTGTAGACGGCCGGCTCCCTCCCTCGTGCTCCCCAGCCCAGCCGCCGCCGGAGCTCGACGTTGGGTGTCCGGCGGAGGGCAAGGATGGTGGCGGCTGGGCATTCTTCCCCGCTCCCTCTCTCCCGTAGGGCACCTATGCGGGCGACCGAGGCGGCTACCGGCGGCGTGAATCTAGCCCAGATGCGGGTGGATCTGGTGTCTTCCCGCCCCGATCTGTCGTCCTCGTGCATGGAACTAGTGGTCGGAGGCCTCTTGGTGGTGGCACACGAGTGAGATGACGACGAGGGCACCTCACATGTGCTGCGCGTGACGGCGGTGGCATGGAGGCAGCGAGTGGGCTGCGCGGCGACGGTGTTGAGGAAGCTGCGTGGAGGCAGGCCTCGGTGCGGCGTGGGCGGGTGTGCTGGCTATGGAGCGGCGCGTGAGCCTCGCGAGCGGGCGAGCCAGCGGCAGGGCGGCACGCGTGCGGCACCATGGCGTTGGTGCTACCCATACATGCTGCTTGCTAGTGTGGATGATGGCCACAGGCATTGGAGGTGTCGGTGCAGAAAGTGACCAATACATAAATATTTGTAGTTTTGTCGTACGTTGTGATCGGATGTGGCCTAGCACTCAATGACGTAGGGTTTATACTGGTTCAGGCAACGTGCCCTACGTCCAGTTTGAGTCGGTCGGTGACTTTATTCCCGAGCCCAGGTGCTCGAAGTTTGCTATGGGGTTATAAACGAGAGGGAGTAAGATGGGGGTGTAAGAGGTCTGGTCGAACTCTGGACCGAAGGGCCGAGAGAGACGGGAGCTCCTACATGCACTAAGTGTTTTAGCGTGTGCTCTGTTGGAATCGTTCGAATCGTTCGTGAATCGATCCTGGTGGTCGAATCATCCGTGAATTGATCGTGCCCCTTTTGGAGAGAGTGCATCCCCTTTTATAGATGAAGGGGACGGCTTTACAAGAGAGAATGAGAGAAAGAGTGTGTGTGTGCTACCTAGTCTTGTTCCCCACGTCGTCGGGTACAAGGCGGTTTGTCGGCGCCCATAACACTGTTGATGTTCAGATGCATATGGTAGGTTCCATCATCTTCTTCTGGTACGGCAGATGTCGGCGCCTACCATACTATAGGATAAATGTCGGCGCCCACAACATTGTTCATGTTCTGACATGTCTGGAAGGTTGCGGTGCATCCTTCTGACACGGCCTGACAGTACTGTCCTGTAGGTGTGCAGGGTATGGCCTTGATATTGCGGTTGACTAGAGCGCCCTATCTTGCTTGCTCTATCCGTTTCCTGGGTCTTCACCGAGCGGGCGTCCCCGGTCGGTCGTTCCCCAGTCGGCTCTGGCCTCCCGGTCGGAGAAGAGCTGTAAGCAGAGGTTCGATGTACTTTTGGTCAGAGAAGCGAGTCGGAGTCGGAGGAGAGTGTTGTCCCTTCTCGGCCAGGCCTTCCGGTCGGAGAGGCGACCGGAGTCGGAGGCGACAAAAAACGAGTGTCGTTCCTCCTTGGCCAGGCCTTCCGGTTGGAGAGGCGGGCCGGAGTCGGAAGCGAGCGCCGGAGTCGGAGGCGGGCTAGCCAGGCCTTCTAGTCTGAGAGGCGGCCGGAGTCGGAGGCGAGCGTCATCCCTTCTCGGCTAGGCCTTCCGGTCGGAGAGGTGGCCGGAGTCGGAGGCGACGGAAAACGAGCGTCGTTCCTCCTTGGTCAGGCCTTCCGGTAGGAGAGGCGGGCCGAAGTTGGAAGCGAGCGCCGGAGTCGGAGGCGGGCTGGCTAGGCCTTCCAGTCGGAGAGGCGGCCGGAGTCGGAGGCGAGCGTCATCCCTTCTCGGCCAGGCCTTTCGGTCGGAGAGGCGGGCTGGGGTAGGAAGTGAGCGCCGCTCTTCTTTGGCCAGGCCTTCCGGTCGGAGACTGGATCGACCTTCTAGCCTGTCGTTAGGTTTTTGGGCTGGCCTAGGAGTTGCGCATCGTTCGCAACGTCGTCTGCTGGGCCGAACTTTTGTTGGGAAGCAGGTCCATGAGGGACCCCGGGTTTATGAACCCGATAGGAGGAGTGGCGACCGGCTTCTCAGTTCGGTCATCCCCTGACACGTTGGTACCACGAAGTGGAGGATTTCTGGTGGCGGTGCTCCGGCCGTGGCATGGCAGCTGCCAGCAGTTGGTGTCGTGGTGGTGGAGTCCAAGTCGATTACTCAAGAGGCAGGTGTCCTCGACGTATGAAGATGGTCAGGTAGAGGTGCTGATGTAGTGTTTGGAGGGCACGGCGGTTGGTAGTTGGAGGGCAACGGTATGGCGGGCCGTGCGCCAGTAGTGACCGCGAAGTTGGCGAGAAGGTCGGCGCGGAACGAGGTGGCCAGCGGAAACGCGTTGCTGAAGTGACCTATGCGTTGAAGCTTCTGATGGTTATTGGAGGTTCTGCTTTCTTGGACAAGGTAGCTTGGTTCCCAAGTGCTACGATGTATGCAGCTGGATCTCGGTGGACATGGTCATTGTGGCGAAGGCTTGAGGCAGTTGCTTATGTTTTCGGCTTGGTGGCTTACAGCGGACTGCAGCGGCTAGTCCTGCATGGCAGAGGCTAGTATGGTGTGGGACAACGCCATGAGGTGGCGCAAGCGGATTCGAAGGCGTGGTGGCTACACAGCTCCCAGCGGACTACGATGACTAGTTTTGCTTAGCAAGGCTAGCTTGGCGCAGGACATTTTCGGCGACGACGGCGTGAGCAGAGAAGATGGCTTTTTGTCTTGACAGCTTTGTTGTCTGGTTCTTTGTGGTGTTGTGTGGTGCTTGGCTGTCAGTGGTGTTGCTGTGGAGTGCCAGATTAGTGGTGTTTAGTTGGCGCGTCTGGTAGTGTTGTGTGACGCGTGTTGAGGTTCCATTCCAACCGGTCTCTGTTGCTAGAAGAGCTCTTTGTTGTGTTGTTATAGCCGTCTAGTTGTATCGTTGTGTCCACTCTGAGCTTATCTTTTTTTTAATATAATCGGCAGCTTTCTTACATGGAAAAAAAAACTGTGTGAAACAACCATTTTAGGAGCCTCTTCTTCTTTGATCATGTGCTTCGACTGGTGGCTCTTCATTCCCTACACCATTACCAAGATCTTGCTCTACGAAGAGGATATCATGTGCGGAACTGGCGAACTGCGGTAGCTCCAAATCGAACACAAGCTTCGCTTACTTGGACGCACCTCCATCACGGCCTCGTACAACTCCAACCAAACTTTGCACGGAAACATCATGACCTGGAAATCTGGAATAGAAGCGAAGGATCTCCCGACGGAGACACCGCGGCTGATGGGACAAAATTGAGAATATGTGCCTATTTAGCTTTCAAAATTTTGTAAAATTTTTCAAGATTTTCCGTCACATCGAATTTTTGGACGCATGCATGAAGCATTAAATATAAATAAAAAATAAAACTAACTACACAGTTTAGACGGAATTCACGAGACGAATCTTTTAAGCCTAATTAGACTATGATTGGACACTAATTGTCAAATAACAACGAAAATGCTACGGTACCATTTTCCAAAATCTTTCACCAACTAAACCAGGCCAACAGGTGTGCAACAGATATGGGAGGATTGTTCCTCAGCTTAACAACACAAACGGTGTGGTGGCGCAGTTGGCTAGCGCGTAGGTCCCATAGCTTGTTGAGTAATCCTGAGGTCGGGAGTTCGATCCTCTACTTGGGTCGTCACACTCATTCGCCCATAAACAGCCTGTTCGGGAGGCCGTTAACGATCGTGGATTATTTACTGCTGACTGGTTTGATGTGAGAGAAAATACTGTTCTGGCTGAAAATTTACGATCGTTTACGACCAAGCGAACATGCTGAAAGATGGTTACAAAAGGATGCACGCTTTCGCGGCGCCCTACCAATCAAATTGTTAAGCAATAATAAAGTAAGTATATATGGGATGATAGACACCAATGACAAATAGATTTTGTTGATAACACAAATTGCACGGTCATTATGGACCATATGATTCCGTCTGTTCATAGATTACATGTAAAATATTTTTTGCCAGTAGTTCAGAATGTTGGTCCAAAAAAGTACACACAGTTTGCATCATGCAGTCATGTTCACACAAATATGAATATATAGTCAAGTACAATAGTAGCAGGTTTCCTTTCGCGACTACATTAGTAGATTAGTAGCAAGTTCCTTCAACCGTTAAACACTTAGCAGTAGACGCTTAGTGGCAAGGTGCAAACAGGCGCTCACACAAATAAACGGTCCCATAGGGCCTGTTCGCTGGTTAGCGCTGGTGTTAGTTTTGGCTGGCTGGTGCTGGTTTTTTGTGAGAAGAAAATATTGTTGGCTGGCTGGTTTGGGTTGGCTGAAACCAACAAGCGAACAGGCATGAGGGAGCGCTGCAATAATGAAATGGGACTGTAGATGCCTGCAATACAACAAACAATTAGCTGATCAGAATAGTACAAAAAAAACATCAGGAGCTCTCAAAATTAATGACCAATTGCATTAGTTGGTAGATAAGGTTCTCACGAAGAAAAAATCGGTGTGTTAACTCGATGTAATAATTAAAGGCCTTCATTTACAACACTATCATTTTAGCACATAATGTTCCCTCAAGTTCAACCACAAAAGCATTGGAAGCACTTCCATTGTTCCACAAATCAATACATGACGGACAGGGGATGACAACAAATTCACGTGTTGTTATGTCAAATGACACCATGGCCCTCTTGTCACTTTCGCCCAACCTTGGATCACTCATCCAGTAGAGCACTCCTGCAAGATAGGCTGGCGGCATGTCACTCACAGGCAGAGGTGGCGGGAAGCAGTCAAGCACGGAGCCCCGGCCACGCTCGCAAACCATGCATGTCAAGAAATACCGACGGGATTTGAAGTCCTTCACGTGGTAAAACATTTCAACAATCACGTGATCCTGTGTCGACAGATTGAACCCCAGGCCAACATTCTTCCGGCCAAGTGCGAAAGCATGGTCATGACCTTCTGGTATACTCCAGCTAGGAATGTTCGGGGGCACGTGGATGGATGCCGTCCCTCGAGTGTGGTACGCAAGGCGGAAACCTGTGCAGGGGTTGTAGAGATAATCCTTCAGCTCAGTGCTTAGCAGGTTCATGCCATGGCAAGGCTTGGAGCAAACCACCTTTGTGTCAAGCCATATATCATGTCTACGAGCACGTTGGAGCAACTTTGAGCAGGGAGTAAAACTGAAGCCGGATCCTCTAGTGATGCGATCCCTAGTGATGCACTTGCCCACAAGCATGTTCTTGGGCCTCTTGTCCATGTTGTTATGCGAGTGATAAGAGCGCATGAAGCTGTTATCCTCAATCAAGCTAAGCCACTGCTTGCAGACAAGTTTGAATCGCATGGTACAATCACCAGGGAGTCGGAGCAAGATCTCCCTAGTCGCTTTAGCCAAGGAGCTGACAGGGCTCTCTCTTCATTTGTCTGATGCACTGGAACAAGGCTCTCTTGAAATAGGGAGACGCTGGTAAGAGCAAGATTTTCAGCTTGGTAAGACGAAGGGGTCTCTCTGATCGCAGTGCCAGTTTCTACAGTCTGAGACACGGGATCATAGACAATCATCTTGCGTTTGGATGTAGCAATGACTATCCTCTTCGTGGACCCACAACTGCCAACAGAACCAATAACTAACAATCTCAGGCTCAATTACATCATCTCTGCTAACATGCTGCAACAGATCAATGCGATGTTCCAATGACCAACCACCAGAGCCATAGACATTCAGCTTCCATATCTCCAGCATGCCGACATGAAGAAGATCCCGAACCATACACAAGTGGCCAGCAAGCTCCACCAAATGCACACCTGACACCTCAAACGGCGGCGACTGGACCCATGCAAAGATCTCATCTGTGACAGAAAAGGATAGGATGGCAGCTCGTGGCCTTTCAACGACAAATGAGGGACGGATAATCCAATGCAGAAACCCATTTGCAAATACTGGCAGCACTTTATCATGTCTAGCATGGCTAATAGTTGCCTGAGCAGCCCTGCAGAATCTTAAGGGTGTTAGGATCGATGGATGAGTACCTTTCTGTGTGTAACCCGTAGATCCGTAGTTAGGCTCCTCAACCTTTCGGAGCTTCACCGCAGCGGCAGCGTGGACGCCGATGCCGCCCTAGATGCAGCCTCGCGGACGCCAGTGCTCGGCGTCCTGATGAGGAGGTGTGGTGACGATACAGTGGGGCGACGGCGGTGACCTGCAGTGGGAGACGGCAATGGTGGGGCACATCCGTCACCGGGCAAAGACGGCCTTTAGATCGGTATTCGGGTTTCTGTAAGTGGGTGTGGCGGCTCCGGCGAACCTCGTTCTTTGAGCTCGATCCCCACCTTCCTTTTATGTGTGCTGTGCGACAGGGGCCCACCAACCGGATTAGGGTTGGGCTCCCCCGATCAGGGAGCCGAGATAAGGGCCCAATAGGCCGTTGGGCCTATTAGTGGAGATCAACTAACATTCTCCCCCTTGATCTCATTCCATCTTTCACTTTCATATCATTTACTTTTGTTCATTCCATTACAGATTAGCTCATAGAGCATGTCTCATCGTCACGGTCCATTGCCGATAGACTTAACACTACAACTCACTACTACTGCTTCGAAATAGATACTTATCTTTGGGCCTTCTTTTGTCCAGGGAATATTTTAGGCTTTCCCTTAAACCCAAGCTAGCTACATGTTCTTCTGAACACCATGTCCTCTGAACATGTTGGGTGGTAAGCCTTTTGTAAGCGGATCCATGAACATCCTTTCTGTTCTTATATGCTCAAGACTTATGACTTGATCCCGGACTTAATCTTTCACAACATAATACTTTATGTCAATGTGTTTGGCAGCACCACTTGACTTATGTTGTGAGCATACTTTATCTTGCCAGATTATCATCAGCGCAAGATTACTTTAAGTGGTCTATAGATGTCGCCAACCACCTTTAAACCGGTATGAACTTCGTTAGTTAGTTCACCGCCTGCTGCCTCATAACACGCTTCTAAACCTGTCATACATTGTGTGGACGATGTATCGACGGTTTCGCATTGAGCTTTTCCATGAAATAGCTCCCTTTTGCGAGATGATAGAAAATCCACGTCTGGATATGCATTCACTCTCGATAATCGAATCTGAATATCCCACCATGTGGAGTGAATCGATCTTCTATATGTCATCATGAGGTCTTTCGCTCCTTGCAAATAACGCAAGACTTTCTTTATCAATTTCAGTGTTCTATTCCGAATTCTTCCGAATCGCCAAGTAAAACCCAGTAACAAATGCCAAGTCGTATGCAGTACATACTTGAGCATGTTGCAAGCTTCCGACAATTGAAGCATATGGAACCACTTTCACTTTATCGATTGAGCTCATATTGGTTCCTCGGGGCATTTAAAATCCCTATATATGTCGCCTTTGACTATAGGAGCAGTGTGAGGGACTACATTTGTGCATACCGAATTTCTTTAAGATCTTTTCCATGTATGCCTTTTGTGACAGATCCTTATACCCTTTTTCTTCTATCTTGGTGAATCTCGATCCCTAGAACGAACAAGGCTTCGCCAAGATCTTTCATATCAAATTTCTCTTGTCTCCAGAGTAGACCGACATCACTAGCAAGTAAGATATCATCTATATACGGGACAAGGAAGATAAACTTCTCATTCTTAAACTTTGCTTAGACACAATTGTCCTCTACATTCTCTTTAAAACCCAAAATTCTTTATTGTCTGATCAAACTTCAAGTACCACTGTCTTGAAGCTTGTTCTAATCCATAAATGGATTTCTTTAGGCGGCATCCCATTCGTTCTTTTCTTTCCATGACAAAACCTTCCGGTTGTGCCATGTAAACATTTTCCTCCAAGTCTCCGTTGAGGAATGCCGTGTTTACATCCATCTGATGTAATTCTCAATCGTAATGTGCCACTAATGCTATTATTATTCTGAAAGAATTATTATATGAGACTGGAGAAAAGGTCTCATTGTAATCAATCCCTTCTCTTTGCACAAAGCCTTTTGCCACAAGTCGGGCTTTATATCTCTCTATATTCCCTTGAGAGTCAAGTTTTGTCTTGTAGACCCATTTACAGCCTACTGTTTTGGCTCCTTTAGGAATTATTTTCAAGTCCCAAACTTTATTGGCATTCAATGATTTTATTTCATCTTCCATGGCCTCAAGCCACTTTAATGATTGATCACTACTCATGGCTTCTTCAAACGAGGCGGGATCATCCTCCATTTGAAATTCTTTAGTGTTGTACACTTCATAATCAGCAGGAATAGCTGATTTTCTAACTCTTTTGAGACCTACTAGGGGCCTCCACATTTGGCACATCTTCTGTTTGAGGCTGTTGTTGCTCCCCCCCCCTCATGTGTGGCAATAGGTTCTATAGAATCTGAAGAACAGTGTTCCTTATCGTCATTCATTGTTGCCATAGGTGGGATAACAACAGTCTTTGGCACCACAAGATCTAACACCTGCTTGTGCAAATTCTGACAGCAGTAGTGAGAAAATTGGCTCATAAATCATTGGGTGGGCACTTACACCCGCTTCACTTCAAGGTCAATTTCTCGAGCTACCATGCTCCCTCATCTTTTCATCTTCTAGGAAAACAGTGTCTCGTTTCCATAACCTTTGTATGTCTCTCTCGGACAAAGGGAAAACGAAAACTTTTTGACTTTTCTGTAGCCAATAAAATGGCACCTTACTGTTTTGGGATCTAACTTCTCAATGTTTGGGTTAAATACTTTAGCCTCAACAGGGCTCCCCCACACACACGCAAGTGGTTTAGTGAGGGTACATTTTCTGTCCACAACTCATACGGTGTTTTGGGCACCGATTTACTTGATACTCTTTTGAGAATATGAATGAGGTTTTTAACGCCTCCATTCACAGGTTCAACTGTAAGGTGGAGTAACTTATCATACTGCCCACCATATCTATCAGGGTACGATTGATTCTTTTAGCTATTCTATTTTGCTGAGGTTCGCCCGGTGTAGAATACTGGGCTACTTTGCCATTCTTTTAGGGTATGCTGACCGTAGTACTCCCCTACACGTCGATTCACCATCTTAATCTTTAATATCTTAAATTTATCCAATACATCTTTTCTTTCTTTGATTGGATAAATATCGTCATAATGGGAGTAAACATCTGTGAATGGATCATAACCATCCACACTCTTTACAGGAAATCTGACCACATATGTCAGTGTGAATAATCTGTAAAATTCCTGCGCTTCATTTAGCATCTTTCTTAATCTTCTTTACATACTTTTCTTTTATGCATTCTCTGCATTGTTCTAAATCTGAGAGCTCTAATAGAGGAAGAATATCATTCTTAACGAGTCTTTCTATTCTCCCCCTCGAAATATGGCCTGAACGATAGTGCCATAATTTCGACAACGCATCGTGAGCTCTCTTATGCCACCATTTTCAGAGTAACACTCAGTCACCAGCTGCTTTATCACCGAGTAGCATATGTCTTTGAAGTGCCAAAGAAACCGACTCTTTATTCTATCGAGATACTTGGTGACTGTGTCACATTTTTATATTGAGCCCACAATTGTAGGTTCAATCATGTTCTTTATCACAGTCAAACATTTTCTTGTTTGCAGTGACCCACTTCCTATGAAGATCTTTCGGGATTTAAAATCCCTTTCTTTAGTTGCCCAAGTGGCATCTTTTGTCTTCCTCACCGGTGCCACAAACTCAGTGGAACACGGTGAGGTGACTACCTAGTTCACCTTAAACAAGATGAAAACCAGGTCAAAACTTTTCTTAATCATAAAAATAACATCATTTGCATGCCTTGATTCCAACGTTGGTCAAAATCAAAACATACAATTATTCTTATACACTAATTCTACATCACCGTTGGGCAGAAATAGAATTAATGCATAAGTCTTTAACTTTCACAATCGTTTTTACACTAATTCTACATCACCGTTAAGTGTAAGTAGAATTAATGCTTAATTCATTAAAATTAACAACTTTTCTTATACACTAATTCTACATCACCGTTAAGTAAGTAGAATTAATGCATAAAACATTAACATTACGATATTGTTATTAACAACGTTGGTCAGTAAATAACAACATCATAATCATATCAAAACTCTTTTTCTCCAATTAAATACCACATTGGTTCAAAATAACTGGAGAATCAACAATTTCTTTAGCAGCGGAATAACTTTCTTTTTCTCCAATTAAATACCACGTTGGTACAAATTAACTGGAGATTTAAACAATTTCTTTGACTGTGGAAAAACTCTCTTTTCCTTTAATTTTACCCACAGGAAAATTTCTTTTCTATTTTCTTTAATCCATTAATCAATTTCCGAAATAAACATTTTCTCGAAAATCTTTTTCTTTTCTCCGCTTAAATACCACATTGGTACAAATTAATCGGAGAATATACTTTTCCTTTATCGCCAGAAAACTTTACATCAATTTCTTGAATTTTACCCACAGTAAAAAAAATACTTTTTCTATTTTTTTTTGAGCCAATTTGCATTTTTCAATTTTCTAGGAAAAGAAAAAATGAAATCGGGCTCACTCTTTACTCTCTGCACCCAAAAACCGCAGGCTTACTCGCTCGCCCGCCTCTCTCATGGCAAGATGCCGCACCAGCCGCAACTCGGGCTGGGCCAGCAAAGTGTCATGGCCTCCCCTTTGGGCAGCTCATGGCCCATGCATCCGGCGCCGTTGGATCTGATCCGACGGCCGTCCGATTGTTTCGGCCTAATAAAACCCAATTCCGGTCGATGCCGCCAAAACCCTAGTCTCATTCGGCACTTGCCCTCTCTCTCTCTTCGCTCTCTCTCAGCCGCTCTCTCCTCTCTCTCCTTGCTCTCTCTTCTCGGCGCGATCGGAACCGAGCAGGGCATTTAGAGCGAGTGGTGGAGCGAGGCGGGCATCCATGGCACCGCTGCCGCCTCGCTGCGTCAGGCGCGCTCCCACAATGGTGAGCGCTGCCATTGCCGAGCGGCTCGCCACAGACCCCTTTGCCGAGCCCAAGGCGAAAGCAGCAGCACCGTTCAAGGCCTTTTTTCTCTCCTCGCGGCGTGAAAGGCCGTCATGGCTCTTCTTTTTCAGCGCATGGCAGTAGGGTGGATCCGTTCTAGGGGTTAGGTTTAGGGTTCGTCACGCCGACCTCGTTCTTTTCCCCTTTCTTTTCTGCTTTTCTTTCTTTTCTTTGACATCCGAATGTATCTAGGGTTAAATTCTGCTTTCTTTTATTTCTTTTCTTTCTTTTGATTCAACTGATTCGGTTTTTCCCTTTGGAGTTCATCCGAATCGAATCGGGATCTAGGGTTAGGGTTCGATTCCAGCCCCTGTTCTTCTTCCTTTTCTTTTCGAGTTCATCCGAATGGGAAAATAGGGTTAGGGTTAGGGTTCCACCCTTCTTTTTCTCTTCTTTGGATTTTTCTTTTCTTTTCGGATTAGGGTTAATCCGAAACCGTTCTTTTTCCCTTTCGGTTGAACCAATTGCTTTTCTTTCTGAATTTCTTCCCTTCCCCTTCTTTGTTCATCTTCACTGATCCGAACACGGATCTGGTCTTTCTTCTTGCCGTGTCGATGCGGCACTTTTCCCATGTGATGGCGTGGTGACCGGGTTCGATGAAATCCACCACCCCGGTCTCTTTTCTTTGCTTTTACCCGTTAGGGTTAGGGATACATATAGGTAACCTTGCTCGATACCATTGTTAGGATCGATGGATGAGTACCTTTCGTATGTAACCCGTAGATCCGTGAGTTAGGCTCCTCAACCTTTCGGAGCTTCACCGCGCAGCGGCAGCGTGGACGCCGATGCCGCCCTAGATGCGACCTCGCGGACGCCAAAGGTTTCGGCGTCGTCGATGAGGAGCGTGGTGACGACATGATGGGGTGGACGGCGGCGGTGACTGCGATGGGAGACGGCAATGGTGGGGCACATCCGTCGGCGGCAAAGACGGCCTTTAGATCGGTATTCGGGTTTACGTAAGTGGGTGTGGCGGCTCCGGCGAACCTCGTTCTTTGAGCTCGATCCCCACCTTCCTTTTATGTGTGCTGTGCGACAGGGGCGCACCAACCGGATTAGGGTTGGGCTCCCCCGATCAGGGAGCCGAGATAAGGGCCCAATAGGCCGTTGGGCCTATTGGTGGAGATCAACTAACAAAGGGTACACCTGCAGCAGGCGGCTTCCAATCATCCCCATGATCACCGCCCAGCGTGTATATCTTACACTTAATATGCTGCTTATCACCATAATCCCCTAGGAATAACCTCACCACCATGTACTTCTTCGTACGGGCATCAAACCCAAGTCCAGCGGTCACATACGCCGCATTGTGGCACGGGGGCAATCGGGTAACTGCCCATGTGGATGCATTGAAAACATAGTAAGCTGGTGCAAAAGGATCGTAGAGAAGGGTGAGGCCACGGCACGGTGCAGGCGTCATGTGGATGAAGTCACCACCGCGTACACCATCAAGAGTGAACAGCAGGCCGTCATCGGGGCCTGATGACGAGCTCGAGTACACCGCAGTGGCGTCAAAACCAGCTGTTGGTGAAGTGAAGAACAGATTAGGTGTTGCTGACTCCGCTTCAGCTTTCGCCATGTGAAGGCTGCAAAATTCATCAGAAGAAAGCACTGCATTCCAGAGCGAAGAATGGATTTGACGGGCAGCCGTAGGAACACCTCTGCCATCATCTCCTCCGGCAGGAAATGTGCACCGCCAGATGCTACAGCCCTTCTCTTATTCCCCATCACCATGTCACCCAAACTTGATCAACTATGAGATAATCCGCACTGAAATAACACGAGATTGGTATCAGGACAATCTAAGATACCATATAATGTAAACAGATACTAAATATATTCTGAAAATTCTGAGTATGAGTGAAGAGAAAAACGCACCCCCTGAATTCTAATCACGGCAGGCATCCACGACGTGTTGGTTAAGGCGGGATGATTCGTAACTCGGTAATGCTATAGACCGGGCGTCCAGGCTTCCGGACGCACCGCCCTGCACTCGCGACTCGCACACCCGCTCCGCCCACTGCCCCGCAGTCGCTCTGTCCCGCACTCCGCTCGTTCCCCCGCCCTCGCTCTCTCCCACACTCGCTCTCCGCGCCGCGCGAGCTCCCTCCCTCCCTCCGTACCTCTGTCCCTCGCCCCTCCGCGACCTCCCCCCGCACGTGAGCTCGCTGCGCGCCCGCTCGCCCGTGCTCCCTTCCTCCCGCTGTCCTTCGCACCTCCGCGACCTCCATGCACCCCCACTCTCCTTGTGACCCGGCTCCCGCACCCCACCGGAGACGAGGACGACGGCGGCGGCTCCGACGAGGTACGTCGCGGAGGGATCTAGATCTGAGGCCTTGCCCCTCCTCCTCTGGATCTGAGCCCTCCTCCCTCCTCCTCTGGATCTGAGCTCTACTACTACTACTACTCCTTTTCTGGATCTGGATCTGAGGGACGCGGCGGTGGCTAGGGTTCCGGCGAACTCTGTTGCAGCAGGCTTGTTTTGCTGTTGCAATAAGTAATATTTCTTTGTTGCGTTAGACTTTTTTTTCCTGATGTTGCTTCTCGCATTTGCGTTTTTGTTTCTGTTGTTGCAGTAGTGTTGTTTCGCTGTTGCAACAAGTAGTCTTTCTTTGTTGCATTAGTTTTTTTTTCTCATGTTACATCTCGCACTGCCCTTTTTGTTTCTGCTGTTGCAGTAGCTTTGGTTTGTTGTTGCAATAAGCCATTTTTCTTTGTTGCATTAGTCTTCTTTTTTATGTCGCATCTCGCATTCTGCTTTGTTTCTGTTGTCGCAGTAGCTTTGGTTTGCTATTGCAACAAATAATTTTTCTTTGTTGCATTAATATTGTTTTCTGATGTTGCATCTCGTATTGCAGTAGCTTTGTTGTGTTGTTGCAGTTGCTCTTGTTCTGATATTGCAGTAGACTTGTTCTGATGTTTCAACTCGCATTGCGCTTTGTTTGATGTTGCAAAACAATTTTCTAATAGGAGTGCGATAAGGATGTGGCACATCTAGCGTGGGGGAATAGGTGATGCGGGGGGCAAGCGGGTTTCGTTGTATTCCCGCAGCGTGGGGGAGGGAGGCGGTGAAGGCGGTGAAGAGAAGCAAGTGGCTAGGGGGAGAGGGTCGGGCGATGAAGAAAAGTGAAGCGACTGGGGCGGGCAGGTTTGCTCGGTGCGAAGGCTGGGGCGAGCAGGTTTGCTCGGACGTCTCACGCGCCGGACGTCCGGGCGCCAGCAGCGTCGTTCGTAAATAAATTGCCCCCAGAGATGCAAAAATCTGTCCTTTCCCCAACTTTTATAAAGAGGGGGCATCGGAAGAGAGATCGGTCGGACCCTGAGTCCGAAACGAACACAGTGAACAGAGATTCAGGAATCAGAACAGGATTAAAGACTCAGCCCACAATCCCGCGTGTCAGCCGTGGCAGCTTGGTCAAACGCCGGCCACCACTCTTCCACCATTGATATCCAAGCCGAAAGGGCGCCAGATATGCGGTTGCCAGGTTCTCGACGTGACCGCCGGAGGCCACATGGGTCAGCCTGCTTCCCGCGGCGAATCGTGTAATCCCAGGCCGATGGGGAAGACGGAGAAGGCGGCCTATCGGGGCGTGTGTCCAGGGTGGAGGAATTGGTGATGGGGCTCCTATGCGGGAGGATGGAGGTTGATGCGGGAGGATCTCGGGAGGACAGAGATTGGGGAAGTGTGTTGAGCAAAGACCTGAAGAAGCTCGAGAGGCTGTGTGGCGTGCGTGGATCAGGTGTGTCGCCGCATGAGTAAGGTCTCAAGGATGAAGGAAGCACACTGGTCTTGACTACCTTTCTCCTCTGTGCCAGGCCGCGCCTGGGCCGGGCCAAAACAGAGGTCCGTGGGTCGTGCTGATGGGCCGCGGGCTTTATGGCCATCTATACATATCTCAGGATGACCCTCCTAGTGCAGTAGTGCCTACCATAACACACAACCACAACCGGAACTAGTTCAGTGCTTAGCCGCCTATTCAGCTGTTCATTGCTCCCAATTACACGGATTATGATTTCATCATATGTTCTTTTTTGCTTCATCATTAGTTGTTCTAGTTACTTCTACTTCTAAAACATGTTGGCGCGTGATGGTTCCCCTATCAAAAGAAAAATGAAGATCAATGTTTCTATTCAGGGATAATTCACATGTTCGTCTTGACAATGCCCTTCAGCTGAGGCCTCAATACATCATCATCATAACGAAACAGTAAACATTATAGTATTATACTGTTGGTATATTGAACCATTACACCATCAGTAGACACTACACCTAGCTACTTTCACTTCAGAAAAAAAATAAACCATGAACCACTGCCAGGCAAAATTCCCAGTTGCTTTACATTTTCTTTTTTGGAAAGAAACCAAAAAAATAAACCACGAGGTCAATCTGTCTTCCACACCACAAATGGCCCCTTCTTCTGATGCTCGCATGGCCGAAGCTTGTTCATCGCTCGCCCCATCATCGCCATCGCTGCAATGCTTGGGAACTGACCTTCAAGTTCTTCGGATAACCGGCCAGGCTTTGTTGCTTGCCTTCCCTGGCCTGGGTCTTCATGGAAAACTGGAGTGCCACCCTGGCACCATCTTCCTATCCAACTATTCACGCTCTTCTCTAGAATTGGGGTTCTTTCTTGCGTTTCTTGCAATTTTTTCCCTTCATCCAAGCTCTGGTCCTCCTTAACACGATCGATTGCTCCAGTGTCAGTCCTGTTGCAAGGAAGTGCCATGTCAAAAGAACGATTTATTTGCCTGAGTGGAGCGCTGTCTGCAACTTTTGGCCTCTTGGAACCAGGCATGTCAGGATCTGATATGTCAAGCTGTAGGCGCTTGAGCCATCTATCACTTGGCTCGGCACCTATTGGTGGTTGAATTATACCACTGGAAATTTGATTTCTCATTCTGCTCATTTGGGAAAGTATGAGATCTAGGTTCGTGATTCCTGTTCCGGGCATGCACGATTGCTTACTACCAATGGTTGCTTTGGACGAAACATCATGACCTTCCTTGACATTATGGGTTCCATCTTCTTTACTGTATCCTGAATCTCGCTCTTGGACGGAGCTGCTAGCTGCTCACTTTTTGCTTCGCTTTGGGCAACCGTAATCCTGTAGTACATTTATTGGTAATAATAGAATCAGTACATAGATCTATCAACTTAGTTTCAAAAACATAGATCTATCAACTGATACAGGCCCATAACTAATGAGCACAGCTTGAAATAATTATCATGTGGAAAAACAAGCAACAGGTAGGTGAGCATATATTCAAACCAACCTAAATATATTCACATTCCAGGATTTTAACTAAAGAGCATAAACAGGAAAGATCGACTAACACTGAAAACAAAGTTGATGACACATCAAAATGCATTTCTGACAATCAAGTTTATAAACCTTTTCAGGAAAGTTTTTTTTCCCCAAAACCATCCAAACAATACAAAAACAGTTCCAAGCCATATGTTGTTTTTTATAGTATCGAACAATATAAATAGTCCAGGAACACTCTTCATGCGCAAAACAGGAGATCAGATTGCTATTGGATTATGGTACCTTTTGTGCCGGCAATGAAGCAATGCCTACAACAATCCAGAAAAAGGAAAACAGGTGTGAGTCTGAGAGTGATACTGCTACCATCAGCAACAAAAAAAAAAGATATATATTAGATGAAACATTCCAGTGATGCTGCTCTGTTAGCATATATGTTTTGAATAACTAAGAAGCACCTTGTATTCTCTATATAATATATAAAGATGTGCAGTTCTCCTGCGCGTTCGACGAAAAAAAAGCACCTTTTAACGCAAGCCGCCATACTAAAACACGCCCTTAGCTGATACTAATTTATAGATGCTAGACCTCACCTGCTGAGGATTTGGACCCAATAAGAGTATCACTGTGCAATGTTTCAGTCTTAGCTGAAGATTGATTCTGTGCTCTGAATAACCGACTGCCAATATTGGTGCCGTACATACAAACTCCAAAGCCGCTAGATTTTCCTGAAGACACAGAATTTTTAGGATATGCACTTTGTGATTTGGAAGGAACCGTTAACTTTTCGAATAAATAGGGCCTTCTTCGGTTACAAGAACCTGTATACATTTCCTTTGACTTTGGTCCATATGTCAGCAGCTCACCATTACTCTTTTCTGTCAATTTATTTGCAGTTTGATCAGGTAACGTGCAGACTTTCAGATTTCCTGCAGATTCCGTTCTCTGTGTTTTGAGATGACGATGATGCTCATAAGGTAACAAAGAACACGAAACAGCCTTGCCATGAGATTTATACATCTCATGAAAATTTTCACCATCCTTCTTGCCGATGGTAGAAATAGTTATTGGTTCATTCTGAAACTCACTACCAAGTACTGGTGCACAGAACATTGCCTCTGCAGCACTTTGTTGTTTATGGACAACAGATCTTCTTGTCTTCAGATTGTGGGCCTCACTTGCAACAATTCGATTGTGGTTGTTTCCTGCAAACTTGAACTTCTTTTCGTTAGATACAGAGGGTAGTTCATGCTTTGAGTTTGCAAAATAGTGGCTTGTATGCTGCTCATCTATTGGACAATCTGCTGAGTTGTTGTCATCCTTGCTGCAAGAACATGACATGGTATCCGATAATTGTCCTTTTAACTTTGGCCCTGAAGGATCTGAATTGAGGCCAGCAGGATCTTCTATGCGAGATGCAAAGCCTTCTGCAGGTTTGCACGTATCCATGTTCTCGTCAGCTATTTGATGTGAGTGCATCATGTATTCTTGTGACGATAGAGCCATCACATGGGATGCAGACACATTTAGATTCAGAGGTGCAGGACCAAGTGCTGCAGACCTTCGTTTACGGTTGAGAATACTGTCAATCTTTCGATTAATTTCGAACATTGGAAAGTGGCTCCAATCTGGACTTGGATCATCTGAGCTCCCAAGGTTCTGAAAATCCAACGGTAACTCTGAAAGCTTGTGAATAGAATATGTTTCTGACACAACTGCCCTGGCTTGCAAGTTCACAGCATCCTTCTTCATAGATTTTTCAAAAGACTCATCAACCTGTTCACTATTCTTTGGTCCCAATTCATTGGAAACATGGCGTGCCATACCCCACATACTAGAATTGAACTGTCGGGCATGCTGCATGGAGGCACTTCCACGGCTTACTCCTACCATGAGCCGTTCAGCAACTGTAGATTTCATGAATTCATAAGGCAAAGTCTGACTATCTTTTGCAGTAGTGCCCTTGTTGATATCCTCCAAAGGATTGCTGACATTGTTGTTTCGGGGTTCTGCACTGCTGCTTGCTTTGGTCCAGTGTGCCATCCACAGGTAATGCTTGTGCTGAGGTGGTTCTCCAGGATCTTTCTTGCTCAACAAAACTTGAAAATCTTCTTGCTTATCATATCTACTCCCGACAAAGTCTGACATGATTCAAGTAAATGAGTTTTTTCCGTGAGCCTGGAAATATGGCTGCAGATTCTTCTGTCAAGGACGCAAACAATAACATAATCAGAGATAACGAGATCTTTTAAGTCCTGACAGAAGAACGATGCAGAAACCGGTAAATCAGGAAAACATAAAAGGGTTAGAAGTTCCATTAGATTTGTTTAGATACAACTCCACTTTTAAATCCAGCTGATCAATCGCGCTGGAGATTTCACTAGAACTAGCAAAGTGCGGTGGGTATATGGCGGGAGTGGAACTTAATAGGAAGTTTTTCACCACAAAGAGTTGGTACTCCTATTTGGTGCATGCGCATGCCATAACCTTGCGAAGCATGATGCCATGACCTATAGCCCCCAAAAATGACTACATCAATCAAATGGATCTAGTAGCAACTCATCAACAAGCAAAAGGTGAAACATAGATTTACCTTAGCAAGCACCAAGCGCACGCTCGTGTTCTGCGGCGCGCACCTCTACGCCTCTCGGTTGGACTAGAATTGGATCACGCCAATCTAGGCAAGGAACACGCACACCGCTGCGAAACACTGAGGATTACCGCCACATAAAAGCACGGAAAAAAGGAACAACGAGCAACCAGGAACTCTCGCTCCTAGACCGTGGGAAGAAACAGCCAAAAAAATCCAAGGCCGGAATGGCAGGAGCAGGTAAGCATGGACTCACCCAAATTGCCACGACGACGAGGACGTACGAACGAGAGCCGAGGCGGCAACGGCAAGGGATCAAAGCAACCGCGGCGGCGCCGGCGTCGCGTCTCCTGACTCCACGGCTCAGAATCCCTCCTCCCCAGAATCGATTCCCCGGAACGGAACCGGGCGCGGAGGAATAAAAAGGTGTGGGCGACAGGGAGACACGCGCCACAACAGCTCCCCCCTCAATGTCCACACCTCCCCTCGCCAATTCCGCCCATCCCCAAGGCCCCAACCACCACGCGCGGTACTGCTACCACGACCCACGCCGCGCACAGCGAGACGGCGAGCCGAGGCGGCGCTGACGGAGAGGCGGAGGCATTAACTCCGGTGGTGGAATGGTCAAGACTCAAGAGCCACAGCCACAGGCGTGCGAGGTGGGAGAGGGCTGGTCACTGGTCAGCCAGCCAGCCAGGAGACGGGGATGGGACAGGGAAAAGCGAACCCGCCTGGGCCACGTCCTCAAAAGGCAACCGTCGGTTGCGCCGGCGACGCGGTGGCGGCAGCGGAGGCGTCGGATGGGGAGCGTACGGCCGATCGCGAGCGGAAAATATCTCAGGGGACGGACGTGGGAAGGGTCCCCCTGTTGCCCGCGCGTACAGGGGAACGGCAGATCGTTCGGAGCTGCTCGACGCTCGTTTGGGCGTGGCTCGTAGTAAACGATCTTAAATTTTTAGTTGGAATAGTATTTTTTTCTCACACAAACTAAGCAGCAGTACTTTTTTATGAACCAGCGACAAAATGAATCAGCCAACCAATAGGGTGGCCGAGGCCCGTGGGCTCGACTGCCACAGCTCCCGTTCGTTTGGCCGTGGCTCCTCGTAAATGATCGTAAATTTCTAACCAAAATAATATTTTTCTCTCACACAAATCAATCAGTAGTACTTCTTTATAAACCAGCGACCAAAACAACCAGCCAAGCGAAGAGACTGACAGTGGTTTCCGTTCGGCACGCCGCGACCCGCGACAGAGAAGTTGACGACCCACGCGGCGTGGCTGCGCAAATCAGGCTGGATGGATCTGCCGACTGGTGATTACAGTAGTGCACGTTTATTTGGAGATTGCTTTCTTTTTCAAAAGACCGAAAAAAGAGGGGGGGATTGTGCGTGAACTAGTGCTACACTTTTTCTTTAAGGTCTTTGTGAAAAAGAACTTTTTAGAAATTAGTAGTGCTACAGTACCAGTACAGGTATTTAGCCATTGGTACATCGAGTGCCCGTGCTTAGAATGCTTGTATGAAAATAGCACGTGTAGAATTGTCTTATGAAGGACAATATGTGGTTGCGGCACAACCTATAATCTTGTATGCTTTATGATAGAAAACGTGCATTGATGTATTTCGAAATTCACCAAGGGGCCTAGTTTTCAAACAAAACTAAGTAAAGCAAACACTCGTCGTAACTTGCGAGTTGCAACGAATGTATTCAACCGAGCATGTTTGGGCGTTTGACAGAGCTCCTTCTACTTATGATAATATTCATGACAAAGTGGTTTTTCTAACTCTGAGTATCTCGTAGTGTCTCCTCTCTTTCTTTTTACATGCCATGTTGGTTTTGTCCCAAGTCAAACATTTGGATCTTGGATCATCATTCAAAAAACTTATATAGGTTTATGACATAAAATTTATATTTTTAGATCACGATATAGAACTCATATGTTGTGAAACTAAAGGTTTTTTTAAAGTGGACGATCAAATATAGTAATATTTTATTTATGGACAAAGTTAATATGACATGTAAAAATGAATAGAGGGAGTATTACTTAATTTTAGATTTTAGATAAGCACTCTACAGTCGCTCTGTGACCTCTTCCAAAAACAGTTCCTTACCAGTTGGCAATCACACTCGTGGTGCGGGTGTAACATTGGACCCGTGGATGTCTTCGGGTTAGGGCCCACGACGGCGTCATGTCATGTGCGGGTGTTATACTTCACTCGCGGGTGACCTGCGAGGCTTGAAACGCATGTTTTCTCTATTCCCCTTCTTCAATTAGGGGCCTACAAGACTAGAACTAACGTTTGGCGCAAACATATGTAAAACTTAGTATGATTCGTATAGGCTAGGTTGCCTAGATAGTATGTACTCCATTTATTTTAAATTATAAGATGTTTTGGTTTTCTAGATACATTATCTTTACTATGCATCTAGACATAGTGTATATCTAATTAAATAGATAGAAAAGTTATGAACTTCTGATTTAATCTGGAATGAAGGGAGTACTAGGCTAGATTCAATTAAGTTCTCGTGAACTTATGATTCACTGGTGATGATAAACTGATAATTGTTGTTATTTTCTCTCGGATTTTTTTTCCGGTAAGCTTCTTAGCACACCCATGCAGTCACCTTCGGGCGGGTGCGGTGCAGTGCATGTGCGAGGTGTGATATTGCATCCGGATCTCATTGAGAGCGGGCGTAGCCAAATATTACGAGCATCTCTATAGAATCCGGCTTCCAAAAGAGGGCACCGATCGGGCCACGCCGCCCACCACCACGCCAACTGCTCGACGGGGCGGGCTCGCCATGTGGACCGTCGATTTTGGATCGGATTGGGTCTCCGCTTTGTTCCATCGTGCTCCCGCATCGGGAATCTTCTCGTGGCGTCGGCCGTAGGCTCCGTGGCGTCGATGAAACAGAGAAGTAGAAGCGCTGGCCAACGGCGCTGGCATGGTCCACCGGCGAGGCGGCCGAGCTCACCGGCGAGACGGCGCGAGCGAGCCGAACGCGACCTTTGCCCGCCCGGCGCTCTAGTATAATGAACCGACCAATTATACGAAATTAAGTAAGAAAATCATCCGCCAGAGCAGACGATTGAGCAAACTTAAGCCCGTATAACCCGGTAGTCCGTGAAATCACGAAGGATTTCAAACCAACTTCCATTCCAGCCAAGATCGTAATAAGTTTAGCGGTCACCATCACATATTACATAAAAGTTCGCAATCTCGGATACATCGAGTTTAAACATAGTTATTACAAAACCAGTTCAATAAAAAGTAGCGGAAGCCATTTGTTCAAACCACACACACACTCACGCGGAGTTCAAATATAGTGCCAGCGAATGATCATCTCCAACAAAAGCATTAGACGAGACGTAAGGAATGACCATGCCCATGGTCCTAAGCATCACCCATCGCAGGATAAAGGCGCTTGATACAAAGATGGCCGTAATACATCGCCCATCTCGCAACAAGTGGAAATAAAACCACGAGTACGAGAAGGTACTCACTAGACTTACCCGACATAACCGAAAAAATAAATGACACCAAGGATTATGAAGGGCTTTATAGTAGGGTAGTGACTCATTTGCAAAAGAAGCATTTTAGCATTTCAAGAACCCTTCTAAAAGCATTATTGTCAAGTTAATTATTATTAACTGTCGACTAGATTTGCACCTATACTAGAGCAAACATGTGATTAAGCGAGATAATGATAACCAATGATCATTAAACAACTTCCAAACTGTCATATTCATTATAACTATCCAAGTGTTCCATAAACATTTACTACGATGAAGTAACTCAAGTCAAGTGCTCACTATCCAGAGCGATGGCGATTCGAATCGATTCCTAACCAAATTGGTGATTTATTCCTTACACAAACCTCACTCACCCGCTAAAGTGAGATATTGATCACCGAGTCAACTTTCCAGTATCTCGAGTTTGCCAGAACCACATGTACCGGGCCGGCCGACCGACCGCACTTTGGTCTTATCATCTCGCCCGTGTCCTACCACACCTGCGGCGACAAGGCGCTGTGGGCAATCTACTCGGCCCGAAAATCTCCCCCGGCCAGCGGTCGGAAGGTACTTTATCCGGCCAAATAAATGTAAGGCATCGTTCAACATGACTCGAGGCCCAACAACGGTTGGTCCTTAATCGACACGACGGAAACACTACGGTCCAAAACTCGCAAGTCTCCGTCCGGTCTCAACTTCATTTAACGCTTAGTTATACCATGACTTCATAGTCATCCAAGCGAGATCCGTAACCACCTATAGCTCGCGGTGACGAAATCACCCGACTTCTACCGGTCTAAGCCAACTAAGCATTGACTCGATCATGGATACCGGGGGTAACAAGGATATAGTATAACAAAGGTAAACAAGGTATAATGCAAAGAACGGTTGCAAACAACTCCCCGAACGTAATGCATCAATTAAAGTAAAGCATTTAATTAAATCATTGCAAACCGGGAGAAAAATGCTCCGGGCTTGCCTCTCGAAGGAGCTTGGGCGGTGATCGTGCACACTGAAGTTCCTCAACGTCCTCCTCGTCGGCTTC